GGTGGGATCGGTTCAATCCCTCGTCACTGGTGATGGTAATCGACGCCCGGGTCGCCGCGTTCGTAGCGCAGCGCATTCACCGTTGCACGGCACACTCGTGCACACACCTGTACAGAACACACACACACACATGTGTAGACACACACACACCTGTGTAGACACACACACACCTGTGTAGAGCACACACTCCTGTGTAGACACACACACACCTGTGTAGAGCACACACTCACACCTGTGTAGACACACAAACTCACACCTGTGTAGAGCACACACTCACACCTGTGTAGACACACACTCACACCTGTGTAGACACACACTCACACCTGTGTAGACACACACACACCTGTGTAGACACACACACACCTGTGTAGACACACACACCTGTGTAGACACACACACACCTGTGTAGACACACACACTCCTGTGTAGACACACACACACCTGTGTAGAGCACACACTCACACCTGTGTAGACACACACTCACACCTGTGTAGACACACACTCACACCTGTGTAGACACACACACCTGTGTAGAACACACACACCTGTGTAGACACACACACACCTGTGTAGACACACACACTCTTGTGTAGACACACACACCTGTACAGAACACACACTCACACATGTGTAAAGCACACACACACACCTGTGTAGACACACACACTCACACTTGTGTAGACACACACACACCTGTGTAGACACACACACACACACACCTCTGTAGAACACACACACTCCTGTGTAGACACACACACCTGTACAGAACACACACTCACACATGTGTAAAGCACACACACACACACCTGTGTAGACACACACACACACGTGTAGACACACACACACACCTGGAGAACACACACACACCTGAGATTTCGCTTAGGCGGTAAATCCCGCGAGTGAATGTATCCAGAAGAGATGCTGATCAGCTACGAACTATAGGCGACGTCTGGGGGGGTAGTGGTGGGGGGGGGTCAGAGGCGGGGCTGGAGCGGGTGGGGGGGAGGTTAGTTGTGGTGGGGGGGGGTGGGATTAGTGGTGAGAGGGGGGAAGGGTTAGTAGTAGTGGTGGTGGGGGGGGACAGATGCACGCGCGCGCCGTGGGGGGTCCCGATTCGAGCGCGGCGCACGTGCCCCTGATTAGGGGGCCCGTCGTGCAGGAGGCGACTGGCCACGGATCGACTCCTCTGCGACTCCTCCGCGGGGCCCCCCCCCCGTGGTGCCCCCCCCCCCCCCCCGCGGTGCCCCCCCCTGCGGCCTAATCCGCCGCCCCTGCGGGCAGTGAGCCCGGCTCCTCGGCCCCCCCCCCCCAACCCTCGAAACGTCGCCGCCGCCGATGATGATGATGAGTTTAATTTCCGATTTAAAGCTTTCGTGACTGCAGGGATTCATCTTCTTGGTTCTTTCGGTAAAGTCACGTAGAAGGGAAGTAATAAAATAACAAAAATGAAACATAATAAAATAATATATTATTATATGTAACGCGACGAGTAACGCGATTACAGTAACGAGTAACGCGATTACAGTGACGGTGACCGTTACCAACCCCTCGTTACCCCCCACCCCCAGACCCCCCCAACTCCCAGACCCCCCCGCCCCCACGCAAGGGGGGGGCGGAGGAGATTATACCTGATGAGAGAGTTTAGAGAGAGTTTAGATGGAGTTTAGAGAGAGTTTAGAGGGAGTTTAGAGAGAGATTAAAAAGAGTAATTCGCTCTCTCCCGACTTCGCGCGCTTCATTGAGCTGAGTGTCTCGGAGAGAGACTTTATGAATTTTGAACAACTTTGATTGCAACAGCACTGCAGGCGATTCCGATAGGAAGTACACACAAAGTCACCAGCAACCAAACCGCAAACGCTATAAATCCACAGGCGCAGTGGCGCTAAATGCGCCGCGCACGACACAAAGTAAAAGCCACGTGGTGGTGGTGGTTGTGGTGGTGGTGGTGTCATCGCGCACGCCACGGTGACGAGCGAGCGCTTCAGAAGGTGAACACGAGGGGTGCCGTCCACGCTGGTACACAGAGAGGGGGGCTTGTCCGGCCCCCCATCGTTCGAAGAAGACGCGGACATCACCGGCACGCGCGTGTGTGGGAGAGAGAGAGCGCGCGCGAGAGATGATTCGGTGCGAAATCTGTTAACATCCACAGTTAACACAGATCGCTAATCGATTATTGTCGAGCAGTTACATCGGTAACGATGACCAAGCCTCGTGACTGCTGCTCGTTGGCGATTTTATTGCCAAGAATCTTTACGGGCGGACTTCCCCACACATCTGGCTGTCGCCTGATGAAGCTGGTTGTGATCAGTGGCGAAACGTCGTACTCGGATTGTAAATGTTGCGGCTTGGCTCTCCAACACACACCGGCGTTGCTGCTGTACTAGTACACTACACTATACACTACACTACTATACACTACACTACTATACACTACACTATACACTGCACAATACCACAATACACTACACTACTATACACTACATAATACACTACACTATACACTACACAATACCACAATACACTACACTACTATACACTACACTATACACTGCACACTAGTGCTGTACTAGTACACTACACTATACACTACACAATACCACAATACACTACTATACACTACACTATACACTGCACACTAATGCTGTACTAGTGACGAATTGGCCACGATCTGTTCACGTGACAAACCTTACTAGTTGGCTGTGTCGGGTGGTGGCGGGTTTCACGACACATTTACATATTTACGCGATCTAACAACAACAAAACCTGCGTTGTGGATCACAGGTTATAGTCGTCATCGATCACCGATAACCGGAAATGATCGGGTGTCGATATCGCTCCTTACAACGCGGTTACCGATGACGGGTATTGATCTGTGACGTCATCGCCCCCACTAAACCGCATTGCGATCCTTTAGCAGCATTGGCGATCGTCCGAGACGTCATTCTAATTAATCGACGATCAATGAACGCATCCTTTTTTTCCGATCTTGATTGGCAACTCATTTCTTTCCGAACTGCTCTTCGCATGCAGTTCGCTGTCCCTGGCCCCCCGCGCCTCCGATGATCACGTGCTGCTAGGTACGGTGCGAAAAAAAGTCCAACGTGCACACGCACGGACACGTCGGTGACTGATGGAGCCGGCAATCGGTGGCAAAGAGTGGGAATTGCCATCAATTGTCGATTGACCGCAGATTATCGCCGACTCTGCCCATTATATTATCGCTACTGATTTATCGGCTGCAAATAGAGGTGATCAATAACCTATCATGGGTTCGCTGGCGCAGGCTATTGATCACCGGGACAATTGGCCCTTATTCCTCATCTGTACTGTGCACTCGCGAGAGACAGTGAGTGTGTGTATGTTTATGTATTTGTGTATGCCTATGTATTCGTGTGTTGGTGTATGCGTTTGTGCGTATATTTTGTGGGGAGCGGTGGTGCAGCGGTTAGCGCGCTGCGCTACGAACCCAGCGACCCGAGTTCGATTCCCGCTCACGGCCAACACCAGTGACGATTATTTGAACCGTTCATGGGCCTCCCTAGGTCGACTCAGCCTCAAATTAGTACCTGGTGCGGTGTATTAAAAATCACCACTGGGTGCTGCTCGCTAACAGCACTTGTCCCAACAGTCTGTTGAGGCTAGACGGGGGATCTTTATCTTTGTTGTGTATATTCAGATTTGGCTTGATTGATGCGGGTTAGGGTTTGTGCGAGGCTAACCTATTAAATAGCCATAATTCGTTCTATTATGCGGTTTGGATTCATTCGACGTGCGGCTTTGTCGGTCGGATATGGGATAACATTGTGTGCTGTGTACTGTGTGTGTGTACTGTGTGCGTGTGTGCACTGTGCGTGTGTGTACTGTGCGCGTGTGTACTGTGCGCGTGTGTACTGTGCGCGTGTGTACTGTACGCGTGTGTACTGTGCGTGTGTACTGTGTACTGTGTGTGTACTGTGTGCGTGTGTACTGTGTGCGTGTGTACTGTGTGTACTGTGTATTTGCGTACTATGTGTGTACTGTGTATGTACTGTGTATGTACTGTGTGTGTACTGTGTACTGTGTGTGTGTATTGTGCGTGTGTACTGTGTATGTACTGTGTGTGTACTGTGTACTGTGTGTGTATTGTGCGTGTGTACTGTGTGTGTACTGTGTGCGCTACTCGGCATGCATCCCGTCTACTCGTGCGGTTTCTCCTTTGTGTGCCCCTGTTTTATGGAACGCATCTGCTACGTATAGCGAGGAGAACCTCTGTATCTATTGATGAGCCGTTTCACACTTCGTAGGCTTTCGCGACCAATATGATTCACAATAAGCCCAGATCGCGTAAATATAAATGTGTCGTTTAACCCACCACCACCCGACACGGGCAATTCGTAAGGGGTTGTCACGTGAACAAAACGTACCAATGAGTTACGAGTTCAGTAGAGCGGTGTGTGTTGGAGAGTAAAACCACGACGATTTACGATTTGACCACCGTGACATGTGGCCGGTGATGGCAACAGCAAGTTTGGCTGTCCATAAATGACGTCACGCACCTAGGGGGGGGGGGGGGTCAGACATTTGTGACGATGTGTGACGAGCGGGGGGGTGGGGTGTTTGAGAAATGTGACGTCACATCAAAATGCGCAACTTTAAATAAGTATAGACAACACGTTCTACTTAATTAAATTGACTTTTTAATAAATGTTTTTTTCTACAACATCAGACTGCAGCGGCACATTAAATACGCACTACAATGACAATCGTTGAAATCGATTTGAAGCATGTTTTTTTTTTAAATGGAAATATGGTTTTGGGGGGGGGGGGCAGAGCTTTGTGACGTCATATCTGAGGGGGGGTCTGACTTTTTGTGACGCCGTGTGACGATGGGGGGGGGGGGGATTGTCCAAAATCGCGTGACGTCATTTATGGACGGCCCCAAAGACGAGAAGGCTACCCGGGGGATCTTTGTCTTTGTGCATCACAGCTGTTCTCTCTCTCTCTCTCTCTGTCGCTCGCAGGGAGATCGCGTCACGTGGCCACGATGGATCACCGGCGGGCGGACAGCTTCGCTGAGAGGACGACAGGTGAGTGGGTGAGTGAGTGGGTGGACAACAGGTGAGTGAGTGGGTGAGTGGGTGGGTGAGTGAGTGGGTGGGTGAGTGGGTGAGTGGGTGGGTGAGTGGGTGAGTGAGTGGGTGGACAACAGGTGAGTGAGTGGGTGAGTGGGTGAGTGAGTGGGTGAGTGGGTGGGTGAGTGAGTGGGTGGGTGAGTGAGTGGGTGAGTGAGTGGACAACAGGTGAGTGAGTGGGTGGGTGGGTGGGTGGGTGGGTGAGTGAGTGAGTGAGTGGGTGAGTGAGTGGGTGGGTGAGTGGGTGGGTGAGTGGGTGGGTGAGTGAGTGGACGACAGGTGAGAGAGTGAGTGGGTGGGTGGGTGAGTGAGTGAGTGGGAGGGTGAGTGGGTGAGTGAGTGGACAACAGGTGAGTGGGTGGGTGAGTGGGTGGGTGGGTGAGTGGGTGAGTGAGTGGGTGAGTGAGTGAGTGGGTGGGTGAGTGAGTGGACAACAGGTGAGTGAGTGGGTGGGTGAGTGGGTGGGTGAGTGGGCACATAGGTCACCCCGCATAGCCTCAACGCCCGGCCGCATTTGTCTCCCTAAGTGGCAATTTTTTGTTACACGTAGCACCAGGTACTCAATTGAGGCTGAGTCGACCTAGGGGAGGCCCAGGACCGGTTCAGATAATCGTCACTGGTGGTGGCCGTGAGCGGGAATCGAACTCGGGTCGCCGGGTTTGTAGCGCAGCGCGCTAACCGCTGCACGACCGCTCCCCACTCTCACACACACTCACTCACCCTCTCACTCACCCTTTCACTCACACATCCACACACAGAGTCTCTTATATGCACACTCTCTCACGCTCTCTCAGACATAAGCACACTCCCAGCCTCTCACACACACACACGCTCCCACCCTCTCACATTCACAAATACACGCGCACACTTACCAACACTCTCATGCACAAACACACACTCTCACGCTCACACACACGCTCGCTCGCTCGCTCTCTCAATCATACAAACACTCACCCCTCTCCCTGTTTCTCTGTTGAGACACACTCTTAATCACGCGCTCACTCTCAATCACACACTCTTACACTCTCACACACATAAAGACAAAGATCTCCTCGAAACTGAACAGACTTTGGGGGCAAGTGCTGTTAGCGAACACCTATTTAATGCCAGTACGGCACGCGAGGGGGTCGGTGGCCAGCACCACGCCCGACCGCCTTTGTATCCCCCAGTGGCGATGTTTACACACCGCACCAGGTACTCATTTGAGGCTGAGAGGACCTAGGGGAGGCCCAAGACCGATTCAAATCATTGTCGCCGGTGTCAAAGCGCAGCGTAGCGCAGCGTAGCGCTGACCACTACGACACCGCTGCCTCAAGGACACACGCGATCCTGTATATCGCAAACTCTCAATCACACTCTCACTCTCACTCAATCACACTCTCAATCACACTCTCACTCTCACTCAATCACACTCACACTCTCAATCGCACTCTCAATCACACTCTCAATCACACTCACACTCTCACTCAATCACACTCTCACTCACACTCTCAATCGCACTCTCAATCACACTCTCACTCACACTCTCACTCACACTCTCACTCACACTCTCAATCACACTTTCACTCTCACTCACACTCTCACTCAATCACACTCTCAATCACACTCTCAATCACACTCGGCTGCGACAACACGCTGAGCGATGTCTCGCGAGAGGGGCTCTTCCTGTGCATCGGCAGAGGAGCAGTAGTAGTAGCAGCAGCAGGAGCAGCAGCAGCATCAGGAGCAGGAGCAGCAGGAGGAGCAGGAGCAGCAGGAGGAGGAGGAGGAGCAGCAGGAGCAGCAGGAGGAGGAGGAGGAGGATGCGAGGCGGCCTGGGGAGCGCCTTGCCCGGCGTCGTGAGACGGCGCACGGCACGGAGAGGTTCACACTCTGTGTGGGATGAGGGCTCTGTATGGGATGAGGGTTCTGTATGGGATGAGGGTTCTGTATGGGATGAGGGCTCTGTATGGGATGAGGGTTCTGTATGGGATGAGGGTTCTGTATGGGATGAGGGTTCTGTATGAGATGAGATGAGGATTCTGTTTGGGATGAGGGTTCTGTATGGGATGAGACGAGGATTCTGTTTGGGATGAGGGTTCTGTATGGGATGAGGCGAGGGTTCTGTATGGGCGGGTTCGGAGTGGTCACGTGATGAGGCTTCAGCTGACCCAGACTGGGAGGTGATCGCGCAGTGGCAGCCAATGAATGTGACGCGCGTCGGGAGAGGAGGCGTCGTCCGCCGTGGGAGACGGAGCGGTGAGATCGGTCCGTGTGCTGGGCGGATCGCTACATCGCGGGAAGAGGAGGATGCTGGTGGTGGTGGTGGTGGGGCGAGGGAGGATTGCAATCCGCTGGTAGATGTCACGGCTTTCGATTTAAAGCTTTCGTGACTGCAATGATTCATCTTCTTGGTTCTTTCGGTGAAGTCACGTAGAAGGGAAATAATAAAATAATAAAAATATAAAACAATAAAATTCTCACGACGTTTCGGCCACAACGCAAGCAGCCGTCCTCGGGTGAAGAACAGGTCTGTCGGAAAGACAGCGTCATTCAGACGGCTGCTTGCGTTGTGGCCGAAACGTCGTGAGAATTGTATTATTTTATTATGTTTAATTTTTATAATTTTATTATCTCCCTTCTACGTGATTTTACCGAAAGAACCAAGAGGATGTCACGGCTTGTTTCGGAGTCGCCTCTCACTCTCACTCTCTCTTTCTTTATCTCTCTCCATGTCTCTCTCTCACTCTCTTTTTTTGACGATCAGATGAAACAAGAAGATGATCGGTGTCGTCGGCACTTTGCTTCGTTCATCATTTCGGTTTTTTATGCTTTGCTTTATGTAACCCCCGCCTTTTTTTGAATGAAAGATTTCACGAAAGATTTCACGCTCTGCTCTCCTTACCCCTTCCCTCTCTCTCTGTATCACTCTCTCTATCTCTCACTCTCCCACTCTCCCTCCCTCTCTCTCTCCATGTCTCTCCCTCTCGGGTGTAGAAGAACTTTTCCACGCGTCCGTGCCGAACGAAATCGGCACGGAACGCGCAAAGTTCACTCCTTCACCTTCACGCGGAAATCCGCGTTCGAGGTCGCGGGGGCTTGAGGGGGGGGGGGCTTGAGGGGGGGGGGGCTTGAGGGGGGGGGCTTGAGGGGGGGCTTGAGGGGGGGGGCTTGAGGGTGGGGGGATCACGGGGCGAGGGGGGGGTTGAGGGGGTGGGGGCTCTGGCGGATCACGTGGAACGCGCAGTTTTTGTTTGATGGATTTTCCACTGGAAATATCCAGCAGCCCCCCCCCCCTCACTCCATCCCTCCCTCCCCTCCCCCGGCTCCCACGTGACACAAGCACCTGTTCTGCGTCACGTACGGGCGGGGGGGGGTCACTGCCGGTGCACAACGCCGAGTCGATGGAAGCGTCGCTTCCCCGGGGTTACAAGTCCCGAACCACGTGGTTCGTCCCCCCTCCCCCCAACTGCAGAAGCGAACCCGGGGCACAGAGAGCCCCCCCCCCCACGGGACCCCCACACTTTCAAGGGCCCCGCGCTAAATGCTTTCAAGTTAAATTTCGATCATTCAGACGCTGTCTTCCCGACAGACCTGTTTCTTCACCTGAGGACGGCTGCTTGCGTTGTGGCCGAAACGTCGTGAGAATTGTATTATTTTATTATGTTTTATTTTTTATCATTTTATTATCTCCCTTCTTACGTGACTTTACCGAAAGAACCAAGAAGATGCTTTCAAGCTATCAATTCCGGTTCAGTGATTCTGCACTTGCTCTATTACTATAGTACTATACCGCCTGCAACTTGTATGAACGACTGGGTGTTTAAGGTTGGCGGTTCATCGTATTACCTGGCTGTAGAGCAAATGAAGCTGAGTCGGCCTAGGGGAGGCCCCGGATCAGATCATCGCCACTGGCTGTTTGATCGCCGTGAGCGGGAATCGGCTTCGGGTGGCCGGGTTCGTAGCGCATCGCGCTAACCACTGCGCCACCGCTCCCTACCCCCACTGACTCACGCGCAAATACAAAGATAACCCGTGTAGCCTGCGACAGACTGTTGGGGCAAGTGCTGTTGGCGAGATGCACCGGTGAAGACAACAACAACAACCGCCATTGGCCACTAAGTGGCGGTGACGTCACCACGACGCTTGTGCCAGGCTAGGTGCACGTTGAGGCCACGTGAAGTGTCGAACGCCCGCTGGCACGAGGTCACGGGGCAGACCCAGCAGGTGCCACGGGTCGACTGACTGAGATCACCGGCTGATGCACCACCGATGAAGACACACATTCAGAGACAAACACACGCAACAAAGACAAAGATCCCCCGTATAGCCTGCACCGACTGTTGGGGCAAGTACTGTTAGCGAGCACCAATGAAAGTGTATACCTGTGTGTGTGTTCGTGTGTGTGTGTGTTCGTGTGTGTGTGTTCATGTGTGTGTGTGTGTGTTCGTGTGTCTGTGTGTTCGTGTGTGTGTTCGTGTGTGTGTGTGTGTGTTCGTGTGTGTGTGTGTTCGTGTGTGGGTGTTCGTGTGTGTGTGTGTGTTCGTGTGTGTGTGTTCGTGTGTGTGTGTGTTCGTGTGTGTGTGTTCGTGTGTGTGTGTATGTTCGTGTGTGTGTGTGTTCGTGTGTGTGTGTGTGTTCGTGTGTGTTCGTGTGTGTGCACGCACGAGGAGGAGAGAGAGTTGGGGAGAGGTATAAAAGAAGAGCACGCAGACACAAAGACAAAGATCCCTCGTATAGCCTGTAACAGACTGTAGGGGCAAGTGCTGTTAGCGAGCACACACGAACACACACACAATACAACACTCGCATACTCACGTAAACCTTCACCACACACCTCTTCCCCCCGCCCCCCCATTCCCCCTCCCCCCCCCTTTGCCCCCACCCCCCGGTCTCGGCTCGTGTGACTCGCCCGGGATTAGGTCGTCAGTGCCGCAGTGACGCGAGTCGTGACAGGCGGAGAGAGAGAGGGGGGG